TATTTTGTTTATTTTTTAATTTGTTCAGGTTTCTATTAGAAACATCTACATACCCTTTAACTGAAGTGTACATCTCCCCTTAGTAGTATATTCAAATAGATCAGGTTATCTAAAATATTTATTACTTTTTTTCAGTGCTGGGGATTGAAACCAGGGCTTTTTGCGAGACGAGTGCTCTACCACTGAGCCATACTCTTAGCCCCTGTTTATTTATTTTGAGGTGACTATAATGTAGTTCTATGCCCTCCTTTTACTTGAAGTATTCATGCTTTCTAGTTCCAGTGAGTGTCTTGTCTTTCTGAAATTTCTCCTTCATTTTTATCCTGGAAGATCTTTTTGCTTCTGTTTTGTGTTGAACTTCCTGTTTATAGGACTGTATATCTACCCTGCTTTTTGTTTCACTTTTTAATTTTGGTTTCAAGTTTCTTCTAGTAAGCTTCCTAAGACAGTCCATTTTGTTTATTGATTTTCCTAAGAAAGGGTGGTAAGGTTTTTGAATCTTTCTTTTGTGGTGCTGGGGATTGAACCCAGGGCCTTGTGCATGTAAGGCAAGCACTGTACCAACTGAACTATATCTCCAGTGTCTTGAATCTTTCTTGTCTGAAAACACCTTGCTCTACTTCTTGTTGATAACTTGGTATAGAATTCAAGGTTGGGAATAATTTCCCAACAATTTTTTTTCCTTTTTGGTACCATGAAATGAACCAGGGGTGCTTAACTACTGAGCCACATTCCTAGCCCTTTTTTATATTTTATTTGAGACAGGGGCTTGCTGAGTTGCTTAGGCCCTTGCTAAGTTGCTGAGGCTAGCTTTGAATTTAGGAACCTCCAGCTTGCAACCTCCCAAGCTGCTGGGATTACAGGCATGTGCCACCATGCACAGCTCCCAACAAATTTGAATTCCATTATTTTCTTAATTCTGAGTTTTCCATTTAAAAAGTTTATTGGCATTCATGTTAGTGATTTTTCTTTTTGTACATGATCCATTTTTCCTTTCTGAAAGTTTTAGGATTTTTTTTTTTTTTTTTTTTTTTTTTTGGTGCTGGGGATTGAACCCCAGGGCGATGTACATGTGGGGCAAGCTCTCTATCAACTGAACTACATCCCCAACCAGGATCTTCTTTTTATCCCATGACTTCAGGACTTACTGTTATGTGCAGTGCTAATGATCATTTTTTATTGTTTTGGCTGCTTCATGGATTCTTCCAATTTCAACATGGGCTGGGAATACAGTTCAGTGATACAGTTGTTGCCTGGCATGCAAGAGTCCTTGCGGGGGGGGGGGGGGGGGGAGAGAATGTGTCCATGTAATCAATGTTTCAGTTTTTAAATGCTGAGAAGTAGTCATCTCTTGTGCGGACACGTTGTGCATTCAGCAGTTGAAATATGTTTAGATTGTTTCCAATTTTGAGGGATCAGATGAGCACATTATGGACAAGTACCCTATAAACATTTCATGTATAAGTTCTTGTGTGAACATTTCTTTTCAGTAGCTACCTAGAAGATGAAATGGCAACTGCTTAAATTTTTAAGAAACTGCTTAATTTTTTAATTTCAACTATTTTCTATAGTGACCATATTATTTTTATATTCTCACTACCAACAGAATTGCAGATGTTTTACACCTGTGTCTACACTTGGCATTACCAGTTAAATTTTTTGTCATTCTAAGATGTATGTAGTGGTATTAAAGATATACAGTTTTCTATAGCGGCCACACCATTTCACATTCTGAAGGGTCTAATTTCTCTACATTCTTAGCAACACTTGCCATTTTCCATCTTTTGAATACAGGCATCCTAGTAGGTGTGAGGTAGAATTTCACTGTGGTTTTGATGTGTATTTCCCTAATGGATAATGATATTGGACATATTTTCATGTGTTTGTCAGCCAGTATATATGGAAATGTAGCTGAGTGGTAGAGTGTTTGCCTATCATACAACATACCCTGGGTTTGAGCTCCAGCACAGCAGGGGAGAAAATGCTTGTGTATAAATATATACACAATAGACTGGTAAGCACATGAAAAAATGCTCAACATCATTATCCATGAGGGGAATGCAAATCAAAGTGAAAATCTACTTCAGATTTAGTAGGATGGCTATAATTAAAAGAGATATAATAAGTGTTGGTAAGAATGTAGAGAAATCGAAATGCTTATTCTCACTACTGATTGAAAATGTAAAATGGTGTAGCTGCTATGGAAAACAGTTTGATAGTTCCTCAAATGGTTAAACATAGCATTACTGTGTGATACAGGAACTCCACTACTATACATATACCCAAGAAATTGAAACTATGTGCAAGTAAAACCTTATGTGACTGTTTACAGGAGTATTATTCATAAATGCCAAAAAGTAGAAACAATTTCAGTTTGTATTAGTGAATAAGTTATTGTTTAATGATATAATGGATAGAAAAACTAATGCAATACAACATGGCTGAACCCTGAAAATGTTAATGCTAAGTGAAAGAATTTAGTCAAACAAGACTTGTATAATTATTTATTTGAAATGCCCAGAATAGGTAAATCTGTACATTGGAAAGTAGACTAGTGGTTGCCTGGGATTAATGGGAATAGAAAGATTGGATGTTGATGATAATAGGTTGTGGAGTTTCATTTTGGGATGATAATGTTCTAAAATTGATTATGGTGATGGATGATGCAAAAGTGAATATATGAAAAACCACTAAATTATGTACTTTAAGTAGGTGACTTGTGTGGTATCTGACATCCCAAAGCTGTTTTTAAAAAATCCACCTATACAATTCAGTAATTTTAATCAATATAGTAATTGTGCAAATATCACCACAAACCGTTTTGGAAGATTTTTATCAAGGTGGGTGCAGTGGTTCTGGAGGTTGAGGCAGGAGGAGCACAAGTTCGAAGCTAGCCTCACCAATGTATTGAGACCCTGTCTCAAAATTTTTTTAAAAAAAGGAGGGGGCACTGCAGTTATGGCACAGTGTTTAAGCCCTCTGGTTCAATCCCTGGTACAAAAACAACCAAAATTTTATCACTCTAAAAAAAAGTCTTTGTGCCTCTTTCAGTCAGTGATTATTCCCAGAACAGCCTTCACTCGCCTGTCAATCTGCTTCTTATCTCTATAGATAGATGCTTTGGGGCATATTTCCATATCTTGGAATCATGCATACATTTTTTTTTGTATCTGGCTTTTATATATGGCCAGTTTCTCTAAATCCTTGCGAATATTTGTTATTATAATACTTATTATAACCATTCTAGTAAGTGTGTAGTGATGTCCCATTGTGATTTTAATTTGCATTTTCTTTTTTTGTGGGGGGTATGGGGGATTGAACCCAGGGGTGCTTAATCACTGTGTCACATACACAGCATTTTTTAATATTTAGAGACATGGTCTTGCTAAGTTGCTTAGTGCCTTGTTAATTGCTGAGGCAGGCTTTGAACTTTAGATCCTCCTGCCTCAACCTTCCAACTCATGTAGGTCTAGGGTCATATTTTTGTATGTGACTGATCAATTGATCTGGTACCATTTAGTGAAAATACTCTTAATGTATTGAATTTCCCTGGCACCTTTGTAAAAAATCAGTTGACCATATTTGAGTGCTTCCTGTGTGTGCTATTTTATTCCTTGTTCCCTGTAGCTCTCTTTGTAGTGTTAGTCCTAGTTTTTCTGGTCTTTTCCTGAAAGTAAAGTATATGAATTGTATTAGTTGAAGTTTTATATATCTTATTTTTAATTTAAAATGCAATAGATAAGAGTTTGTATATTTATTTGTAAAATGTGCAAAAAATTAGCCTTTTAATTTAGAAGTCAATTTTTCTTCAAACAGTATGCTTCAGAACTTTCACAAAAGGCATTACTTCCCTTTGTTATGGTTTCTTTAAGAAAGACACAAGGTAATTTCAAATTGGCATGCTAAGAGTTAAGTCAAGATTTTATTTGATTTTTCTACCATGCTAATTTGTATTTCATTCCTAAATTACAAGTGATTATTGATGTTTTTCCTGTAGGGGCATTCCTGATAATTTTTAATTTTCCACAAGAAAAACCATTTTGCAACCATTTTAATGTTGCAACTTCTGCAAAGCTAGAATTTGACCTTTTTTTTTTTTTTTTTTTTCCTTTTTTCATTGCTAGGGCTTAGACTCGGGGCCATCTCACATGCTAGACGTGCATTTCTGGCTTCTGACCTAATAAATTATTTTTTGAGATGCTGGAAATTGAACCCAGGGTATTATGCAGGCTAATCAAGTGCCATACCCCTGAGCTATAAACACAGCCCCTATATTATTTTTAGCACTTAAGAAAGGAGTTGGATTGGGGCACTTAAAGAAAAATGATATAACTGATAGTGGAATCAAATAACACAAGTGAATAGTCCTCACCTTTGATTCTTAATGTTTTGCTTTCCTCATAATCCAGAGTGGTCTTTCTGGAAAGTACTCTAATACATTGAAACATACCTCTAATGTCCCAACACCTCACATATTGTGCCACAGCATTCTAAATGCATTATATTAGAAAGTTTTGGGGAGAAATATTTTTATACTGTTCAGTTAAATTTTTTCCCATCTTTAAGAAATACATTTCATTTTCCCTTTTTATTTCTGCTATACAGTAGTTTGGAGGTACACATCAAGAATTATATCAGGGCTTTCTAGCATTGCTAGTTGATTTATTTTCTGTATCCTAAGCAGATTGTTAATATTATCTAGACTTAAGATTTTAATCACATTTCCCTGAAACTAGGAAGGGAGCAGGGAATTTTGGGCAGAGACTAGTTGAAAATTCAGGCAGAGATCTTAATGCTGATGGGTTGCATCCTACACACCTGAATCTTATTGTAGTTTCTTTTTCAGCCTCGTGCAGCATCTGCCCTGAATTAAGCTGCAAACTCTTTCCATCTGCATACTTTTCTTAACTCTGAGCTAATTTGGTTAATCCCACCCTTCTGCTATGTTTCGTTTTCAAGTTCCCACTTCCTTAGAACACTGGCATTTCCTCTCTTCACAGGGTCCCAAGTTATCCTGAAGAAGCCCAACGCTTTGCTTTTCCTGCTCTTGAGAAGTCCCAAGATTCTGTGGTGCTGATTCCAACTGCCGCCTTATGTCTAGATTTTGAGTTGTTTTCCGAATACTTGCAGAAGCAAGCCCTTGTTATTGCTACCAATTTCTACCAATACCCTGCTTTGTCCTTCTCGCCACGCTTCTGTTCCTTTTATCCCCTCACCACCTTGGGCACAATGCATAAAGGATGGAAAAAGCATGCCAGTCAGAAGTCTTTGAATGAGGTATCAATGGATGAATATTTAGGCACCTTAGGACTGTTTCGAAAGCTGACCGCTAAGGATGCCTCTTGCCTCTTTCGGGCTATTTCGGAGCAGGTAAAAGGAAAAATGTGTTGCCATTTACTGAGTTTCAGTTTTTGAGATGTGACATGGTCCTGTAGCTAGAACTGTAGTCTACCAAAGAAACAAACATTTTCTGTTTTTTAGTGAAAATATCCAGGCGATCTGCTCCTTATTAGTGCAAGACAATGCAAAGGTGTGTATCTTTGCTCATTAGTACAAATACATCACTGTACCTTTGCTACATTTTCTGTTTTTTTAAATGCCCATTGATAATGTTGGAGGGATAAGATAATGGGTTAAAGAAAACTTTGAAATTTATCTTGATCATTCCTAAGCATCCCCTGCTTCCTGTAAGTTTTACACATAGGAAAAAAATTACATTTATGGGGTAGGAAGGGGGCATGAAAGAATCATCTTTCTCAGTTTTACTGAATATTAAAATATTGTTTAGTATGATGAGGACTGAATTTCCCTATGTTCTACATATGTCCTAAATAAGGGAAACTTAATTGTCCAGTCAATAGTTTTAATTTAGAAGTTTCTGTTTCAAATGACTTTTGGCAGTAAACTGGTCTTTTTTCTTTTAGTTGTTTTGCAGCCAGGTCCATCATCTGCAAGTGAGGAAGGCTTGTGTTTCATATATGAAGGAAAATCAACAAAATTTTGAGTCTGTAAGTAGAATACATACCCTGAGGGAGAATTGTTTGTAATATATTTAGTAGGGTGGGATAAAAGAATTCTTAGTACTTAGTACTTAGATACAAAAATTAAACAATGCAATCTCCTTTTGTTTCAATAGCAAATATGTAATTCCTGGCTGGCTTTCCACAGTCTATCATGCTACCTCCTCCCAGAATTAAGGTTGTTTTGTATTCTAAAAATAAAGAAAAACTATTTTTTCCCTCCTCCCATTCTAAAAAACTCCCAAACCCTAAAAAGTTAAAACTTGACTGCTGTCTTGTGTTATCCATACTACTGTTTTCTGAACAATAATTCAAATGTTTGTCTCTTAATATTTTTAAGTCCATATTTTTTTCAACGTTTTAGTTGTTAATGGACTTTTATTTTTCACTTATTTGTACGTGGTGCCGAGAATCGAACTCAGTGCCTCATGCATGCTAGGCAAGCGCGTAGTTTTAGGTGGACACAATATCTTATTTTTATGTGGTAGGCAAGCATTCTAACACTTGAGCCACAACCCCAGTCCTAAAAATTGATTTTTAAGTGAAAGTTTAGGAGTTGTCTTTGTATACATTGTAGTATTTGAATTTTTGTTAAGGAAACTAAAGGTTTGCTAAGATCTGATTTGAAGTATGCCCTTGTGGCTTTTTATTTATTGTCTATCTCTTTTATACTATTTGTTTTCTTCTGACTGTTATGTTATGGGTTTTTGCCTGCCTTCTGTTTGAGGTTTACACTTATTTTTTTTTTAATATTTATGTTTCAGTTGTAGTTGAACACAATACCTTTAGTTTATTTATTCTTATGTGGTGCAGAGGATCAAACCCAGCATCTTGCACATGCGGCACGTGTCAGGCGAGAGCTCTACCACTGTCACAACCCCAGCCCTACGCTTAATTTTCTCAACAGTGTTTTCAATAAAGTTTAAAATACTGCAAAGGCTTCTTTTAAAGCTTATTACCTTGAAGTAGATTATAGTCTTCTCCACACCTGGGAAAGGACTGTTCCCGACATTCAAATGGAAGATCATGGTGTAAAGCAGTGTGTGAAATATTTATATACATTTTCATCACCTGGGGATCTTGTTAAAATGCAGATCCAATTCATTAGGTCTGAGCTGAAGCCCGAGATTGCTGCATTTCTAAGAAACTCAAGTGATGCTTGTTGTTGGTTCCTAGACCACATTTTGAGTAATGAAGAAGTGTCCAAATTTTTAAAACTAATAAGGTGAATCTCAAAGTTATTACACTGAGAAAAGCCATACCCTTCTTCCAAGAAAAGTTTATACAAGTCTTTAGATAAAATACTAACCACTCTATAAAGACAGAAAACCAGATTAGTGGTTGCAGATGTTATATAGGAAACTTGTGGAGAATGATAGATATTCATTATTTCAGTTTATGATGATGGTTTCATGGGTGCAAACAAAAGTCAAAATTTGATTGTACTGTTTAAATTGTGTGGTTTGTTGTATGTCAAGTATATCTCAGAACTTTAAAAATAAAGTGAAAGAAAATAAGATTACTTTTTTAAATCTGATGTTTGTGTACATGGAACTAGAAATCTATTTCTTGAATATAATTCAGTTTTATTTTTAGGTATATTAAGTTTACTATTTTAGTTTTCTTAGTCATATATAGTTATGTAACTGCCAACACAATCATAATATTGTGTTGGTTCCATCACACCCGGAAGTTCCCTTGTCACTGTTTTTTTGAAATTAATGAAATTCTCTTTGTTTGAAGTTCCTCCATTTAACTTTGTAAATACATGTCTCCTATCATACTTGAGGTCCTTACAGTTATTGGCTTTTCTTGGTTTATGAAAATGATATTATCAAGTTACTTTAAGTTGGCATTTCAAAAGATTCTTACTTGAAGGCATACCATTTGATGAAATTCACTGGTATGTGGGTAAGGCAGGACCAATTCCTAAGACACTTTCCTAGTCCAGCTTTTCTCCCCTTATAAATAAGTTTTGTGTATGTACAAATCTTCTTGAGGTGCTGTGTAAACTAGTAATGTAGTACTATAATTATTAAGCTGAACAAACAAAAACCCTTTGGAGGATAATGTTGCAGAATATGATCAGATTTCAGTAATGCTATGTATTTGGTTAAGTCAAGTTTGTTTTATTTTTGAAGTATGTGGAGGGATCTTTTGAGAAATACCTGGAACGGTTGGGAGATCCCAAGGTAAGATCAAATATGGGAATTTAATATTTTCAGAGTTATTTGGAATCATAACCTAAACATTCAGTTGTCACTATAGCCAGACCCAAAATATTTCTTAAGTAGATAGCTATGTTGAATCAAATAGTCCAAAGGTTTAGAACTGGCAGGTAGATGTATTGGTTTGTGTTGAATATTGAGAACTGTGTGTTAACAATCTCATTAACCATAGTCTAGTGAGTACACAACTGACTGGGGACAGGATAGTGCTGGGAAACATTAAAGCCTTTTCACATTAATGGGGGAGGAGTTTGGTAATTAATGTTACTAAGAGGTCATAATGTCACCTTGATTTAAAGTTGTCTTCCTTTTGTGTAGGAATAACATCTATAAACCCATACTTTATTTAAAATTAATTTTTGTGATAAAATTAACTCCATTATTCTGTTCCCAAAACTTCATTTACTAAATACTGATACCTTTGTATTCTTACATTAGTCTAACTTTTATTCTGTCTTTTAAATCTTTCATTAACTGTCATTATCGATATCTAGGAAGGGCTTTAGGTCCATTGATTTCAGTATAAGTCTGTGTTAATGAGTAACAATCTAATCCTCAAAACAAGTTATATTGTGTTCTACAGATAATCTAAAACAATGCTAAACAGTTAAAAAAATGCACTTACAAAAACTTCTATTTCCTAGCTACAAAAATGTTTTTAAAACTGTGTACTATTTATGTTTAGGAAAGTGCTGGCCAGCTGGAAATAAGAGCTCTTTCTCTAATTTATAAGTAAGTTGTATCCATTTTTCTATTTTTTTCTAATCAAGCCTTTTATTTTGAGATACAGGTTCACACGAAGTTGCATACAGAGCATAACACAAAGTTTTTCATGAAAAACAAAAACAAAAATCAGAGAATAATATCTTATACCCTTTTCCCAATTTCCCTAAGTGGTAACGTCTTGGAAAAAACTATAGTATAGCATCATAACCATAATATTGATGTTAATGCAGTCAAGATACAGAACATTTTCTATCGTATGTTAATTTTATATATAACTACTTTTACTTTCCTTTTGATCTTATTTCCTCCATAGTCCCTTCTCTAATTTTGTCATTTCAAGAATGGATTTTTTTTTCTTTTTGCGTTTTTGTTAGAGCATTATAGTTGTACATAGTAGTTGGGATCATTTTGATAAAATCATACATGCATGGAATTTGATTTACTCCAGTTCAGTCCCCTTTTCTCCTCACTCCCCCATTTTCCTTCCTGTACTCATCTTCCTTTTCCTCATTTATTTATTTTTGATTGGTGCTTTCTAAGTTTACATAAAGGTAGAATTTCCTATAACATACATACGTACATACACACACACACACACATACATATGCATACATAGGGTTAAATTCATTCCGAATTTCTTCCCCTTTCTCTTCCCTCCTCCTTGAGCTCCTTCTTTTACTCTATTGATCTTCATTATGTTTTTATGAAACCTGATCCCCCCACCCTTTCCCTTAGTTTGCTTTAGTTTCTGTATATGAGAGAAAACGTTCAACCCTTGATTTTTTTGTTTGTTTGAGTCTGGCTTATTTCACTTAGCATATTATTCTCTATTTCCATAAATTTACCAGCAAATGCTGTAATTTCATTCTTTATAGCTGAGTTGAACTTCAGTGTGTGCGTGTGCGTGTGGGGTGTGTCACATTTTCTTAATCCAGTCACCTTTTGTGACATCCCTTTTTATGTGTTTTTGAGTACAAGTTTTCTGTTAAAGTTTCTCTAGGATTGGGGAAATTTGAGATTTGATGATAATGTATAAGGAAGAGATATGAGCAAAGTCATTTTGGTGTAGATTTTGCGTGGAGAATCTCGTTACAAATCCTCTCCTTAGCTCTAGCATTTTTCTTTTTTTTTTTTTTTTTTTTTAGTTATGGGGATTGAACCCAGGGCTTTGTGCATGCAAGGCAAGCGCTCTACCAACTGAGCTATATCCCCAGTTCTGCATTTTTGTCTATTTGAATGGAAAAATAAAGGACTTAAAACTTCTGGTATTTCCTATAGAAAGTCAGAATATTTATCTTAGGAGATTTCTTGGGTGTTTAGCTTTGTGCCTCTTTTTCATGCATTCTCAGTGGGGCAATATTGTTCTCAATAGCCTCGAAATTGATTTTGGTAGGAGCAAAGAAATCTTAGCTATTCCAATAGTTTGTGGTCTTTCAAAGCATCACAGTACATAGATGCACAGTACTTTTGTTCTATTACAATTTCAAGTGGAAGTTGAGAAAAATCTTGAAAAAGTTTCCTTATTGGTGGTACTGGACAACTTGAGAATCACCGTTCTATTCCTTTGGGAGTTCTGTTTTGGTCTTTAAAACTACAAAAAATGCCATTTAAGAATGCTGTAGGGTTTTGAAAACTAGCTATATAATGTATGTTAGTTGCTAGTGGAAATCTTGTTCATTTGTCTGATCTGTGTAAGACTTCTTAGAGTTCTTAGGATGGTAATATGGTATATTCTTTTGTAGAAACAGAATTATCTTCTTATGGGGACTTGTTCAAGTCAGTGTTTTGTGGCCTGCTCATTTGTAATTAAATCCAGTGAAAAGTATAGAGAAGGCATTGGGCAAGTAGTTAATTGTCACTTTAAAATCAGAAGTTCACTTTTAAATTGTTCTTCTATTTTGTATGTCCTATGAGCTAAGAATGATTGTTAAGATATTTTAAATGATTAAAAATCAAAAGAATGTTTCAAGGCATATGGAAATTATATGAAATTCAAAGTTGCATAAAGCCTATTGGAACAGTCATGCGTATTCACGGGTGCATTGCCTCTGGCTAATTACAGCTACAAAAGCAAAGTTGAATAAAGCACATGGCATGTAAAAGCTGAAATGTTTTATTATTTGGCCTTTTATCCCCCAAATTTCTTAACCCCCACTTTTTTTTCCAGTATTGAGGAATGAACCCAGGGACACTCTACCACTGAGAGACATCTTTAGCCCTTCTTTGTTTTGTTTTGTGCTGGAGAATCAAACCCGGGGCGTCAAGCTTGCCAGACAAGCACCTTATCACAGAGCCACATTCCCAGCCTGTCCTTAGCCCTTTTTATTTAATTTTTATGTTCACACAGGGTCTGCTAAATTGACAAGGTTACCTTCCCACTTGGGATCCCCCTCCCTCTGCTTCCTGAGTAGCTGGGATTACAGGTGTGAGCCACCATGCCTGGTTTAACCCCACTTTTTAAATAAAGGAGAGCTCCCCAAATTCACATACATACACTTGATAATTTGTCTTCTTTACTTCTTCTCACCAAAATTAAGATATATTTAGGAAAACCCATAGGACCTTAGGTGTGATTAGCTGGTTACCTTGGATTAACATCATTTAGTCTTTTTGGATTATTTTAAAACCTAAAAATCAAACTGAACATGTGGATTATTTTATATGAATAAGGTAGGCAGTTTAAAAGCACAAATCCTTTTTCTTATAACTATCTCTTTCATATGCCAAATTATCTTACCTGTCTTTGTTTTCTATCCATGTAGTCGGGACTTCATTCTTTATCGCCATCCTGGAAAGCCACCAACTTGTATCACGGAAAATGGCTATGAAGACAAGGTAAGAAGATGAGTAAATGTCAACTCAAAAGAAATTGAATAATGCTGCTGGATTATGACATATTAAGAAATAATCTTTTTAAACCTAATGAGAAAATTCTATGCCTTCAGCCTTTTCCTTGTCAGTCATCCCCAGTGGTTTTAGCTACTATTCTAAGCTGATCTGTTCTTGTTACTCTTAAAAACCCTAACTGATTCCTTATGGACCACAGAATAAGGCTCAAATTCTGAAAGTAGGCATTTAGTGTCTTAAGGTACCAAACCTCATTTCCAATTCCATTGTCTTCCATGCTTAGTTATACAATTTTTCTAGATAATTTAGCTTCTTTTCCTTTGTACTTCAAGTGTCAGTTCCTTTAATAACTTCCCCAACTCTCCTGGAGTTACTTTCTTCATTTTTGTTTTCCTAGCCATTTTGCCAGTATTTATTGTATTATTTGTATTCATACCATTTCTCTCATATAGTCTAAAAGTTTCTTGAGGGTGGAGATAAGGTTCTACTGCCCAGTAAAATACATGGAAAATAGCAGGAGGTAGTTTTCTTGTTTGAGAACACTCAATATATAAATTGTTTTTTCAGCCTATACGTTTCCTTTCAAGAAAGTTTTAGGAAAAAACTTTTATATTATTTGATCAGTGGGTGTAGGACTACCCAATATTTGAGTTCATTTTATACCATGAAGCAAAATTCATGTAACATATTAACTATGATGATGGTAAGAAAAGACTAGACACTGAATTTTAAGGATGCTTTTACAGTAATCTAGGCAAAAGACCTGGACTAAGTGCTATTAGAAATAGAGAAGAATAGTGAGAGATAACTTTGAAGGTAAATATAAAATGGGACATTAACTTGTTTTACCAATAGCCACTATCTAATTTGTTTAGCAAACATTAAGCCCTAGAATATAACAAATACTTTTTTGGCTTTTTAAAAAATATGTATTTTTTTAATTATAGGTGGACACAATACCTTTATTTTATTTTTATGTGGTGCTGAGGATGGAAACCCAGTGTCTTGTGCTTGCTAGGAGAGTGCTCTACATCTGAGCCACAACCCCAGCCCACTTTTTTGGCTTTTAAGGATACTAAAACTAAAATAACTGTAATGAAGGCTTTGTCTTTCAAGGGCTTAAGGGACTATGAAGACAGACATGGAAATAATTAATTACAGTGAAGTGATAGTTTATAATAAATGTAAAGTGGCACAAAATAAAAAAGACCTTCTCTCTGCTAGAGGGGTTTAGAAGGCTTCATGTTGAACTCAGACAATGATTCCATCAAATGTGAAGGATGGGCTATTCAGAGGAAACCTCATATGCAAAGGCATGGAGGAAGTAGGAGACCCTTTGGGACTTTAGTAGTTGTGGGGAGGGCAATGCTGAAAAGATAGGTTATAGTTATGTATTGAGGGGTGGAGAAAGCCATGCCAAAGAATTTGTCTCTTCATTCTAAAAAATAGTTGATTGAAGCTTTTTTTCCAACACAGCTTTTCAAGTTTTGAAGATTTTCAAACATTCAGATAAGTTGAAAGAATTTTATAGTGAACATTCATATACCTACCATCCCCTAAAGCCTTTTGACATTTTAATATCCTTGTTTTATCATACATCCATCTCTCTGTCCATTCACCAATCCAGCTTACTTTTTGATCATTTTAAAAAATTCTTTAGTTATACATGACAGTAGAATGTATTTTGACATACCATACATACATGGAGTATAACTTCCCATTCCTGTGGTTGTACATGATGTGGAGTTTCCTTGGTCATGTATTTACATATAAACATAAGAAAGTTATGTCACATTCATTCTACTGTTTTTCCCATTCCCATCTCCACTTTTCCCCCCCAGTTACCTCCTTGTCCAATCCGGTGAATCTCCACTGCCCCCATCCCCTGCGATTGTGAGACAGTATCTTCATATCAGAGAGAACATTGTATCTTTGTTTTTTGGGGGATTGGCTTATTTCACTTAGCATGATAGTCTCGTTCCATTCATTTACTGGCAAATGCCATAATTTCATTCTTTATGGCTGAGTAATAATTTTTGATCACTTTTAAGTAAATTTCAGACATCACTACTCTTTTTATTTTTTAAATTTGTTTTAATTAGTTATACATGACAGTAGAATGCATTTATGCACTTTGATATACATAGATGGTATATAATTTCTCATTTTTCTGAGTGTACATGTTGCAGAATCATTGGTCATGCAGTCACACATATACATACAGTAATAATGACTGTTTCATTCTACTATCTTTCCTATCCCCACATCTCCTCCCCTCCCTTCCCATCACTTCCCTCTACCTAATCTAAGGTAATGCTATTCTTCTCTAGTGCCCCCCGCCTTATTGTTAATTAGCACCACATATTAGAGAAAACATACAGTGACATAGCCACATCAGTGTTTATAGCAGCTCAATTCAAATAGCTAAACTATGGAACCAACCTAGGTGTCCCTCAATAGATGAATGGATAAAGAAAATGAGATATACACACACACACACACACACACACACACACACACACACACACACACTCAATGGGATATTACTCAGCTTTAAAGAAGAGTAAAATTATGGAATTTGCCAGTAAATGGTTCAAGTTGGAGAATATCATGCTAAGCGAAATAAGCCAATCCTACAAAACCAAAGGCCAAATATTTTCTCTAATATGCAGATGCTAATTGACATCCCTACTTTTAACCGTGAATCCTGATTGAAAGTTTTTAGGGGAAGGTATGATATAATCAGAGTTGTTTGAGGAAGAGGAGTGTTAGTTTTTGTATTTTAACAATTGTGTAGAGCATTGCCTGAGGTGAGATTTGTACATTTAGATCTTTGCCAGGTAATGCTCAGCCCATTTTTATTTTGCTATGGGGTTTGTCTGAATTGCCCAGGCTGGTCTCAAACTTGGAATTTTGTCTCCTCTTTCCGAGCTTCGGGGATTATAGGCATGTGTCGCCACCTGGAAACAAGCATGACTTTTGTTTTTTTTTAAACCAAGGATTGAAGGAATTAGCTAAGAAGTTAACCCCTCAATTTTGTAGTAATCTCAGTGTCTTTCCAAGAGAGACATGAAAAAGTTTCTCTAGCAGTATGCCTCCTATATAATGTATTGATATATTGCTGTGTAGATAGCTTTTGAATGAATCCCATCAAGTCCCTTTCCTCCCTAAATCTGAACTTGAGATTTGATGTAATTTCTCTAGTTATTCATAGAAGTTAGGATGGTATTTTTGATTTTTTAAGGCATTTTGTTATTTTCAGTGACTCAGTTTGTAATTGTTACCATATTATTAAAAATGTGCAGATCAGGACTTATTTGGTGTATTAAAGGAACATGACCAAGGCTCACAGTGGAAGGAACTTCATTAGTGATTTTATTTTTGACATTTAAAAGTCGCGGTCAAGAAAATATCTTTTAAGAATAACTAGCATTTACTTTTTCATTTTTAAAGTCATTTTAAAAATTAATATATTATTTAGTTTATCAATTACTGATAAAACAATTTCTGGTTGGTTATCAAGTAAATTTCATAACTGTAATGTGTTATGTGTGTTTTTCTTCAGATTCTTCTCTGCTCTTCAAGTAATGGTCATTATGATTCTGTGTACTCAAAACAATTTCAATCAAGTGCAGCCATTTGTCAGGGTATGTGAAATCTTCATAAATATTTGGGTGTGATTTCACACAATTTGTTGCTAGTATTTAAGTTGCTGGATTTGTTGTTTAACTGGGGATTGAACCATGGGACACTTTACCACTGAGCGATATCCTCAGTCCTTTTTTAGATACAGGGTCTAATTAAGTTGCTGAGATTGACCTTGAACTTGAAAATTCCCTGCCTAAGTCTCCCAAGCCACAGGCATGCGCCACTGTGCCTGGCTGTTGCTAGTCTTTAATTTGAGGGATCCACTTACATATAGCTTAAAAAAAAAAAAAAAAACTTGTTGGTATCTATAGAATTTGTATGCTGGATTGTGACTTTTCACACTTATAAAAATGTCACATTTTGACAATTGAAGTTTTGGTCCTTTTTTCCTTCAGCTATATTGTATGAAATTCTCTATAAAGATGTCTTTGTTGTGGATGAAGAAGCATTGAAAACTGCAGTTGAGGTATTTCGAAGTGGTTCCAAAAGGAACAGAAACATTGCTGTGACTGGAAGTGAGAATGCCTGTATTGATTACAAGAATTCAACTGAGGATAGGTAATAATGGAAAAGGGACTGTTACATAATAATCATGTTTCTGTGCATCATGATTTGAAAGTGGAAGGGACCTGGCAAGTTTATCACTTAAATTACGTATGTACACAAACATACCTGTATATGTATGTTAAGGATATACATTTCTTTTAATGAGGAGAGAGAAATTTTACTAAAAAGATAAACGTTGTTAGATGCTCAGACTTTGGGGTTTCTATTCAAGTCATGATCCGTTTTTTTAAAAAATATATATTTTTTAGTTGTAGTCGGACACAATACCTTTATTTTTATGTGGTGCTAAGGATCAAACCTGGGCCTTGCACGTGCTAGGCAAGTGCTCTACCACTGAGCCACAACCCCAGCCCATGATCCTTTTTTTTTTTTTTTTTTTTAAACTGGAAGAGACTTTAGAGTTAGCATATGATTCTCAAACTTTAATTGTATAAGAATTATTCAGAGTGTTTATTATGCAATTTCCTGGACCTAACTTCACTTCACAAAATTTGAGGTCAGAGGGTCTAGGAATCTAGTTTTCAAAAAATAATTACACCCAAATATTTTGGTATAGGTTAGGCTGTGGATCATTATTTCGAAATGATAACTGAGGTTGAATGCTTGCTTCACATATACATCTAGCTCATAGAAAAATCTCTTGGGCTAAGGGAAGTTTTAGGAGTTTTTCAGTGTCTGCCTCTGGTATACAGTAGGAGTGTAGATTATGTACTTCTGAGGAAGCAGCTGTTATTAAATAAATTTAGTCAAAAACTTTGGGGTTTAGAAAATAAAGTGGGTATTGGGTGAAAACTTATTTGCTTCATTTTTTAGAACTGAGCTGATTTACCACTAGGTGGTAGTATTAGTCATTTCACATGAGACCAGTAACTGCTGCATTTATATAAAGCTCTTTGCTCTAAATCTTTTCAATTAGGACTGATGAGTGGGGTGCCTCCTGCAAGGCTGAAAATACACTAGAGAGCCATAATCAAGAAACAGAAGAATCAAAGGTTTGATATTTTCTAAGGCAAAGAATTTTCATAATCTAGTCAATGTAACCTAAAATTATTAAGATCAGATGATCTGTTCTAATTATTATGGGGCTGAGAGAGGAGTTGGTCATGTTTTCTTGTGAAAGTGCTACCTATTTGAAAATGTAAAATGTGTGTTTTCTCTGAATTTTTATTCTTATGAAATTTAAAAGTTTTGAAAACAAACTCTGGATATTTGAAAAACTTACGAAGCTTTTGTTTTAAAGCTAAAACAAAATTACAAACAATATATTATCAGTCTTCTGATGCTAAGGTTTAGTTTTTGTTTTCATTGAAAAATTATGCCTTTTCTATTCTTGAAACTAGGTGCTAATCAGTCTCTTAATTTGGAGAAACAAATTTTATGGTGTATGGGCCTCAAGTAAGTTTTCAGTTGAGACTTGCTAAATAGGGCATATACTGTTATAGTAATCTGTGTGTGCCTCAAATGTTGGTAATTTTGGAACACTTTTTAATATGATGAAATCTTAGGAAAACAGGAGAAAATGGTATTCTTTTGGAAATTTTAACAGAAGTTGACCAAAATAAACTTGGCATTAGCATGTGATTTTTAGGATACAGAAACATTTCTGTATATCAAGATAACATTTGTTGAATAGTACAGATTGAATTTTTTATGGACAAAATACCTATATTTTTATGTGATGCTGAGGACTGAACTCAGTGCCTCACAGATGGTAGGGCACGCACTCACTCTACCTCTGAGGTACAATCCCAGCCCGGGACAGTTTTTTTTTTTGTTTTTTTTTTAAGAGACTTTTTAATGTAGCATTTCTTCTAAATAATACTGGATTCTCAAACAGTTTTAGATTTTTCCAACATGAATAGTAATTTTCAACTAACAGCCTTGCGATCTTGTCAGACTGATTTTGGGGGTTTGGGAGGTACCAGGGATTGAACTCGGTGTCATTCAATCACTGAGCCACACCCCTGGCCCTATTTTGTATTTTATTTAGAGACACGGTCTCACTGAGTTGCTTAGCACCTCACTTTTTTTTTTATTGTTGTTGAGGCTGGCTTTGAACAGGCGATTCTCCTGTCTCAGCCTGCTGAGCCACTGGGTTTACAGGCATGTGCCATTGTGCCCAGCCAGACTGAATTTTTTAATCCTGGTCTACATTGCATTGGTTTATGAGTGTCCTGTGTTGGCTGTTCCAGACAATATTTCCCTTTTGCCATCTTAAAACTTAGATTATTTGAACTGTTAGACTCCTGATATTAAAAGCATGGTGAAATTCATTGTCTTTTTTCTTGTTTTAATTAAGAAGGGAAGGGAGGCAATGTGCATAGTTTTAAAAAAGAAGAAATGAAGAGGGAAGAATGAAGCTTCCCCCTTCACAGAAGGAGGATATAAGCTAAGGATGGTGAGTCTGTAGCTTGATTATTTGTGTTTTAGTCTCCAGAAAATCCATCGAAGATGCTCTTCCCCTATAAAGTGCTCAAAGCCTTGGATCCAGAAATCTATCGTAATGTAGAATTTGATGTTTGGTTGGACAGCAGAAAAGGTAAAGAAACATCAACAGAATACTTACTCATTACTGCTTCAGGAGAATAATTTTCAATTTGTTTCTTATAAGAGACATTTCATCATACTGTTGAAAAAATAACGCAGCGTGGTACCTTTAATCTTATTCCTATATGATTTAAATTTCAAAGAGGAAACAAATTGGTTTAGAAGTTGGTTAGATCTTTGGGGAGGGATCTTTTAGGGTCTAATGCTTAGCTGGAACTTAAAACTGTGCAAAGAATATTTGGAGATATTTGATAACTTGTAGGAGAAGCAGAAACATTTAGTGCCTGGGAGTAAGCTCATCTGAAATTTAAAGAGTTGAGAACCACCCTCAATGAAAGATGAATAGATCAGGCCTATATATCAGATCTGATTCACCAACTATTTTTGATCCATGAGCTAATAAGAATGGCATTTAAATTTTTAATTTTTTTTAAAAAATGTTATTTGTTCTTTTTAGTTATACATGACAGTAGAATCTATTTTGAAATATTTAAACAAACATGGAATATATCTTATTAGGATCCCAGTCTTGTAGATGTACATGATTTTCAGATTCACTGTGGTATATTCATACATGTACACAGTAAAGTTATGTCAGATTCATTTCACTGTCTTTCCTATTCCTGTCCTCCCTCCCTTCTCTTCATTCCCCTTTGTCCAATCAACTGAACTTCTGTGACACCCCTCACCCTTATTGTGGGTTAGCATCCACATATCAGAACATTTAATCTTTGGGTTTTGGGGATTGGCTTATTCACTTAGCATAATAGTCTCTAGATCCATCCATTACCTGGCAAAATGTCATAAGTGATTCTTTTCTATTGCTGAGTAATAGTCCATCGTGAATATGAACCACATTTTCTTTATACAGTCATCTTGATGGGCATCTAGATTGGTTCCATATGTTACCTATTGTGAATTGTGCTGCTATAAATATTGGTGTTGCAGGGTTGCTGTAGTATGCTGTTTTAAAGTCCTTTGGATATATACAGAGGGTCTTTACATTTTTATTATTTTAAAAAAATTTAGATGTTGATGGACCTTTATTTCATTTATTTATATGCAGTTCTGAGAATCAAACCCAGTGCCTCACACATGCTAGGCAAGCACTCTACCACTGAGCCACAACCCCAGCCCCTACATTTTTAAATGGCAGGAAAAAAAAAAAAAACAGTATATTGTGCTACACATGAAACTTATATAAAATTTAAATTTGATCGTACAAAAAATTAGGTCTACAACAGATTTGAGTAGTTCTAACAGTCTGTATAGCCCATGAAATCTAAAATAGTTAATCTTAGGCTCTTTACAGAAATTCTCCAACCCTTGAAATAGGTAATTGGTTCTCTCTCCTTGTGACTGAATTGATCAAACTAAAACTTAAAATACTGACTTCAGCATAAGCCTTTAACATTGAACTCATTGAACCTCAGTGATCCTAGGTGTAGTTAATTAGAAAGAGATTAAGCCTAGGTCCTAATGTAGTAAGTTGTTTTAAAAAAAACAAACTTTTTTTGGGAAAAGCTGCATAGTATTACTTTCAGATTGTACCTTTTTAGTGTTTGACCAATGAGATTACAAACTCCCAGTGTTCACCTACTTATGTTTTAAATCACAAAACTGTTCTGGCCAAGTTGCTATAAATTTACCACAGGAATAACCCATTAAGATTGATAAAATGGCTTTTGGGGACTTTCCCCCTAGATTTTACCTTTTAGTGGTAACATTGTCAAAAGCACCATGGCAAAAGTGAATTAGGACATTAAATGATGTTAAATAAAGTAGGAAAGGGACCAGTTCAGTTGAGTTTTAATCTTTTTTTTTTTCTTTTAATAATAGAACTTCAAAAATCTGAGTACATGGAGTATGCTGGGAGACAGTATTATCTGGGAGACAAGTGTCAGGTTAGTTTCATCTTTAAAGAATCAATGATTTATTCTTCTAAGATTGTGCTTTTAGTCATTAATATGAGCAAAATAAGATTTATTACACAATGCTAGGAAAAAATGTTTGTGTTAAATTCTAATTATAGGCTTTTGTGGTGATTAGATAAAATGATGTTCTATGTGCCTCCTTCATTGTCCCAGATTGTCAATGTCAATTCTTTTAAAAATGTAGACATTGAATTCTGTTTGGCGTACAAGTGATAATTTTGTATTGCAGGAGCAAGACCTATAAATAAACACTGAATTAGATGTATTATCATGACTTTTGTCTTTCAGGTTCGCTTGGAATCAAGTGGGAAATATTATAATGCTCATATTCAAGAAGTTGGAAATGAGAACAACTCTGTAACAGTATTTATTGAAGAATTGGCAGAAAAGTAAGAAATAATTGTTAAATTACTAAGATCTTTGGCTCCTGATTCAGCTTTTTTATAATATTAAATTGAAAGTTATGAGGATGTTAGTAGGAGAACCAGATTCATATCTAGTACTGCCCTTATTATCTTGAACTTTAAAGCATTGATGAAGTGTGAAATCTCAATATAGGTATCACTTATGGGTAAAAGTTTCCAAATCATGTCATTGTCTTGTTACTTGAATTTTTAACAGTTTTAATAGCAAAGCATTTTTCCAATTATGTTTTCTAAGTTTTTGCCAGTATTCAAGATAAACTAGTCCAATCCTTTTCAAATTTTACCTGGAGGACTTCTGAAAACACAGATTTGAGCCCAATCCCCTTAGTTTCTGATTCAGTAAGTCTGGGGTGGAGCCCCCAAATTGGAACTTTTAACAAGTTTCCAGGTGATGCTGTTAGTCAACTTTAAGAGCCTTTAAACGATGCTGACCTAACAAACAAAAAACCTCAGCAGCTGAAAACAATAAAGTTCATTTTTCTCATTTAGCATGTCCATGATGAATCAATAAAGGAAGACCCAGGCTCACAAAGGCTCTGTTGTGACACATACATCCATAATCGCAGGCAGGGAAAATAGTGAGAACATGACAGATCAGTTACTGGTCCTTAAAACATCTTACAATTTTATGACCAAAGTAAGTCAATGGAGTGGGGAAATTGGATCCTCCTTTAAGGAGGGGTAGCAAATATTTGTGAATTAATTCTGTCTACCAGTTTGTCTTGTAGACAGTGATGATAATACAAACAGCTGTGAAATTTTACAAACTACTCTGCGGTTTTTTAACCGAAAAGGAAAAAACAAAAAGCAACCAAACCTATGGCAAGCTAGTATCAACAGGTTTAAAATATACTTGAAAATGAAGTAGGAGTGGGGTTTATATACTGAATTAGAGTTAAGTCTGTTGCAGTGGTTTCATGGTGGTATCTTTAACTTTAAGGCATGTTGTTCCACTGGCTGACTTAAAACCAGTTACACAAGTGACACCTGTTTCTTCCTGGAATGCCATTCGGAAAGGAAGAGGTTACCAGAAAATATCTGGAGGCTTTGTCCCAGAAATGGGTTTGTATGCTTAAGGTTTTCTTTTATTTCCCCCATTTTGTAGCCTCCCCCCCCTTTTTTTACTTGCCTGTGTTGTACTTTTTTTAAGGTATATCATATGTCCTGTTGTAGCATAGGGTTTCATAACCTCCTCACTATTGGTATTTTGGGATGGTGTAAAGGGGTCTGTCCTGTGCATGGCAAGATGATCCCTAGCTTCTGTTCACTAGATGCCAGTAGCACTTCTGCCTAGTTCTGACAACTAAAATGTCTCCAGACATTACCAAATGTATCCTGAGGAAGGGAGTGACAAAATTGTCCCAGAATGAGAAACCACTATTCTAATGGACTTTGTATAACCATAAGCTGGTATAGATTTTAGGCTCTAAAACTTGAGGGGAAAATATTTTTCAAAGAATGAGCAGAATACCTCCTAAATAGCCAGTAGTTGGGCAGAGTAGCACATCCCTGTAATCCTGGTGACTTGAGAGGCTGTAGCAGGAGGATCACAATTTTGTGGCCACCCTTGGCAGCTTAGTGAGACTGTCTCACAATAAAAAATAGAAAGGATTGGAGGTATAGCTCAGTTTAGAGTTCTTACCCAGCATGTATGAGGCCCTGGTTCAATCCCCAGTACCACCCCGCCCCCCCCCCAAAAAAAAAGCAGCTAGAGATATTAAACATACTTTCTTTGAAAACAGTAATAAGGGGCTGGGATTGTGGCTCAGTGATAGAGCACTCATCTTATGAGTGTGAGGCACTGGGTTTGATCCTCAGCACCACATAAAAATAATAAATAAAGGCATTGTGTCCATCTACAGCTAAAAAGAAAATTAAAAATAGTAATAGTGATGCAGGGGACTGGATGACTTAATGTTTTGATGACAGAATCTACCTGTACTAAAGGTGCTCAAATACCTATTAATACAAAATTATCTGTTGATTTTGCTCTTCCAAGTGGAGTATCTAGTACATCCATGTAAAATACAAAAATTCCCTCCATCTATTTTTTTGGGGGGGCGGTACTGGAGATTGAACCCAGGGGCACTTAACCATTGAGGCACATCTCCAGCCCTTTTGTATTTTACTTAAAGACAGGGTCTCACTGAGTTTCTCACTAAGTTGCTGAGGCTATTTTGAACTCAAGATCCTCCTGCTTCAGCCTCCTGAGCTGTTGGGAATACAGGCATGTGTCCATTTGCTTTGTTAAGGAAAAACTTTTGAGAATTTAAGGCAGTGTGGGAACACTGGACCTTTTGCTTTGGTTATGAAATTTGTTACTTTTTTGCCTAAAAGTCATGTCGGAGATGGACATGAAGCAGCGGAAGAAATTGTTCAAGAAAGTTCGAGGGAAAGAGGTTTATATGACTATGGCGTATAGCAAGGGAGGCTCCCTCATCGCACCCAGGCTTCAGCATGACATGCGTTATGGGCACGAACCTCCACTTCACTACTCACCGACAGGAGGCGATGGTTTATCCGATGAACATTTTCATTCTCCGAATTCCTCTCAGAGACATGGTCGGGGATATGGGATGCCCAGGTGAGACTTAACTGACTTTCATGATAATGTCTTTATTTAGATCTTGGAAATAATTACTAGACATAATTACAATAGAATTGAAAAGTTCCTTAGTAGTCTGAGTATCTTTTATACTCTTTGCCTAAAGAGAGCATAGAACTGTTGAATACTTAAATTCTTGTCAAATGAGTTTGTTTGCATATTTGCATTCTCATAGTCTAAGGAAATGTGAAGCAGAGGAATCGATGCTCAAAGATAGAATGCCATCAAAATGAGTGTCCATGTGATATATGGTATTGTATCCATTAATATTGGGTAGGCCTGATACCAATATTAAGAATAGCAAAGCTCTTGAATATTTTCAGAAAGGTGTGATGATTCTATTTAATAGAGACTGAAGAGTCAGAGTAAAGAGTTCTGTTTTCCTTTCCCCTCATTTTTAGGGATTCACCTCGCTTTCTAAACAGGCACAACATGCCGGGCCCTAAAGTTAGTTTTTACCCTGGCCCAGGTAAAAGGTGCTGCCAGAGCTATGATAACTTCTCCTATAGATCTCGGTAAGTATTATAAGTGTTAGGAGTCAGAAAAAATGGGTAAGTGTAGTTTCATTGCTGAGCAATGATAATATGGACTGATATTTAAGTGTCAACTTTGAAATGTTTCAGTTGTTACTTAGAAATCATGAACAAATTACCTACCATATTTTATCACATTTCCCTTTTTTATTTTCTGAACTACGCAAGTTCATTTAGACGTAGTCACCGCCAGATGCGTTGTATGAATAAGGAGTGCCAGTATGCCTTTGTCCCAGTGAATGGGCAGATACCCAGTGGCTTGGAAGAAACTATTACATTTTATGAAGTTGAAGAAGGAGGAGAGACTGCTTATCCAACTGTACCTGTAAGTAGCCAAAGCTTCACTTAAAAAGCTAATTACTAGTTGGGGTTGTGGCTTGTGGAACAGTGCTTGCCTAGCATGTGTTAGGCACTGGGTTCAATCCTCAATACCACATTAAAAATAAAGTGATTATGTCCATCTACAACTAGAAGTATTTTTAAAAACTTGTTTTTCCTTTTTTTTAAAAAAAAGTAAATCAAATGTATAAATTTTAACATTTTTCTATAAACAATAAACCCCTTCTTCAAAATCATGAGCTTTCATCTTAGAGCCTTTTTTTTTTTTTTTTTTTTTGGTACCAGGATTGTACTCAGGGGCACTCAACCACTGAGCTGCTTCCCCAGCTCTGTTTTTGTATTTTATTTTATTTAGGAACATAGACTCACTGAGTTGCTTAGCACCTCGCTATTGCTAAGGCTGGCTTTGAACTTTCAATCCTCGTGCCTCAGCCTCCCGAGCTGGATTACAGGCATGCACCACCATGCCTGGCTCATCTTAGAGTTTTTAAAGATGTGTGATGAAACTTTTAAGTTGTTATTAAATAAGGGGTAGAGGTAGACAATCTTACCCCTATTATATTGGCTAATATTGTTTTTTAAAAATATTTTTTAGACATTGATGGTCCTTTATTTTGTTCATTTATTTATATGCATTGCTAAGAATTGAACCCAGTGCCTCACACATGCTAGATAAGCACTCTACCACTGAGTTGCAACCCCAGCTCCAATATTTTGTTTCCTTCATCATTACTTCACATATTTTTATTCTGAAAAATACAATTTTAAAACATTTACTTAGAGACTTTTTTATAACAGCAATTCACAGTGTTAGTTTCTTTAAAAATATCCCTCTAGTTTTTTTCTGACTAATGAAAGTGCATGTGTATATGTCTCTCTTTGGTATAGAACCATGGAGGTCCTGCTACAATGGTTCCTGCTGCTTCGGGATACTGTGTTGCAAGACGGGGACATAGCTCAGGCAAACAGACTTTCAATTCAGAGGAGGGCAATGTTCAGACTGACAGTGGTGAGTCAATTATTGTCAAATACTTTTTAAAAGATGATTCTATGGCATTAGCACATCAAGGCTATGAAGTAGACCATAGATTTGGTTTTGAGTTCTTACTCTGTTAGCTTGTTTTGAAAGAATTCAAAGTTCTTACCTCAGCTTGCTGGTTTTTCAAAGATGTCCTCAAAAGGTGTTATTTCTCAAAAGAACAGACTTCTGTTTAAATAAGCCACTGTAGTGTTATAAATCATTTTCAGCTTTCTGCATAGGTCTTTGATTTAGAGTTATGATTTGGTGAGTTATCAGAATGGAAAATATCTATTCCTTATTAGTAGGGTGCTATTTTTAAAATTTATTTATTTTTATGTGGTGCTGAGGATTGAACCCAGTGCCTCATGCATGCTAGGCAAGCACTCTGCCACTGAGCTATAGCCCCAGCCCAGTAAAGTGCTATTTATAGTTGTCCTCATCATTTGTATGTTAGCCTTTTCATTTGACTAGCTTTATTTTACAAGACTACTGCAAAATAACTTCTTCACCCATAGAAATCTATCTGTATAAACACAATGATGCCATTCATTTTAATAAGTAATTATGTTTATAATTTAATGTAGTTCTTACTGTATCCTCCTGAGGAATGTGGTATTCCTGTTTTATATATGAGAAAATTGAGGTTCAGAGGTAAATGATATGGCCAAGGTCATACCCTTGGTAAATGGCAGATATATAACTTTTTGTAACAGCTTTATAATTTATATACCATTCAATTACCCTTTTAAAGTGTAAGGTTCTGTGATTTTTACTATATTCAAACTTCACAGTTAATTTTAGGACATTTTTATTATCCCCAGTAGAATCTATATACTCACTAGGGCCCACTCCTCATTGACTACCAAACCCTCAGCCCTTGACTATCACCAGTAATGTTTCCTATCTCTATGGATTTCACCTATTCTGGACATTTCTCATATAATATGTGGTCCTTTGTGATTCACAGAGATGGGTCCATGTCTAAAGTTGTATATTTGTATCCTTAACATACCTTCCACTGTGGATTGTGTTTATTTTTTACCATTTACTATTAAGTGATATCTGTCTCCTGGAAGAATTCTGGATGATTGGGGTTTGTGGTATTTGAATGACTTGATTATATTAATTAGGTTCCTTCTTACTTGTGATATTCTTTGTGCTACTTATATTTAGGAAAATAAGAGTAGATATTTCTAGGAATTGAATGAGGGCAAAATCTTTAGTACAAGAGTGATCTGTAAAATATTTATACATGCATATGCTTAAGAATGCTCATATTTTGCTTTTTTATTCAGATGACTCTTGTCTTTTCCTTTTAGCTGTCATGGGTAGCTTTAAATAGTTTTCTCACCCGTAGTGGCACATTTGTAGTAACTTAATCTTTGTTCTCACCTTAAACCCTGTTGTCCAGAGGAGTTGAAGGCCTGTGTGGTTTATGAGTGATGTTTCAGAATCAAATCCAGTTTAGACTTCTGGTGTTTTATTTGGTGGAAATCTGCCAAATTGAAGATTGATTTTTCTCTGCATTTCAATGTTATAGTGATTTTTTTAACCTTTATTTATTTATCTATATATGGTGCTGAGGATCAAACCCAGGGCCTCACACATGCTAGGTGAGCACTCTACCACTGAGCTACAATCCCAGCCCTATAATATTTTTTATAACTTCGTTGTTTATATTTTTATGTGGTACTGAAGTCCGAACCCAGTGCCTCATATATGCTAGGCAAATGCTGTACCACTGACCCACACCCCCAGCCCTGTTATAGTGATCTTAAAGTAAAATATTTCATATTTTATTGAGTCATCTTTTGAGGAGAAAAATATTTTACAAGTATTGCATGAAATAGGCTGAAAAACAAATAAGGCTTGAGATAGTCCTTTAATGTCTACCTCAGAAAACTATGGGGTATAGTCCGATTCCATTATAGTCACTACTTGAGTGTTAACTATGTATGTCACCACCATGCTAATTTATTTTCATTTAACTTAACATTCTTCAAAACCCATATAAACTAGGTATTTTATCCCTATTTTTACCATAAAGAAGTACAAAGATTAAATAAGTGGCATAAAGTTATGGGCTTTTTTTTTTTTTTTTGTGTGTGTGTGTGTGTGTGTGTGTGTGTGTACTAGGGATTGAACCTAGGGATATTCAACCACTGAGCTATATCCCTAGCCCATTTTTTATTTTTATTTTTAAATTTTGAGACAGAGTCTAAGTTGCTGAGGCTGGCTTGGAACTTGTGATCCTCCTGCCTCAGCCTCCCAAGTCACTGGATAAAGTTATGTTCTTGATTGCTACATTATACCAACCACTCTTACATGGAAAAAGTGGGCATAGTGTTCAAACAGATGTAAAAACCCTGGCTAAGAGCTAAGGGGATTTTGAAGAGAAATTTGTACTATTTGTAGCTAATTCTTAGATTCAATGTCTATTGAATACTATAAAAACTCCAATCACTTTCAAGAATGTATGCATTTTAGTTTTGAAAATATATTCATAAAACTTAAGAGAAAAAAAAAGCAAGTGTTGTCAGTTTGGATCTGCTGAGCTATAAAGACCTATGTAAACACAACTTTTGTCTTGCCTTTTTTTCTAGGGGAATATCATGAAGAGTATCTTTATCCTTCAGGTCAGTGAGATGTAATTTGACATTTTTCATTGTTGGTGGAATTTCAAACTATAAATTAATGCTACTTTTTTTCCCCTTTGGCTATATCCTCTAGAGCCAGACTATGAAACTTCAGGTGTATATGGCACAACTGTGTCTACAGCAAACTTGGTAGGTATTTAATAATAACAAATACTAATAAACTCATATCCACTATGTATTAGGCCACTGTTCTAAGAACTATATATAAATTATTTAAATCAGAGGCAATTAATTATATTCTCATTTTGTAGATGAAATTGAAGCATAGAAATTAAGTAATACATCTAACATCATACCACTTTTATGAAATTAATTCTGGTCAGATCTATCCCTTATGAAGTGGTATGAGAGGACATCCTAACATTGGTAGTGATGATCATTTAGAAGATTTTATTACGATTTTTTTTTTCAAAATGGGCTTTAAATTCCAATATTATTAACAAGTATACTTTCTGATTATGCTACATATCCAGTGAAGGTCTATAGGAAGGTTTGCTCAGGTATTCAGGCTGTGGATACTCCATCCATTTTTGAAATAAAAGGTGATAAATGGTGCATTGGGTCTTAAAGCTTTCACTGGAGATGATGCATTACTTTCTTTTTTTATTTTGTTGACCACAGAAGGTCTCACTAAAGAGTCTAATCTCTGTGTGCCTGGAAGGCAAAAATTTGGAAATATTTCGACAACACTAAGAACTACAACATTCAACTTAAAAATGTATTTTCCTCCTGCAGGCAAAATACTGACTTCTACCCCTAAAGAGACAACCTAAAAAGTCCTATTCAGTGTAATCAAACTCAAAGCACAGGATTTCTGGGTAATGTGTAAGATTCTATATATTGGGTCCAGGTACAGTTCCTCTTGATCTTGAGGCCTGAACCCAAAACCACCAAGTTTAACACCCCTCTCCCAAATTTACAGTGGTGGGATAGTGTAAAAATTACAGTAAAGTTCTTACTACTCAGAAAGGGGGAAAGTATAAGAAACATAGTTAATGGTCTGTAGCAATTCTGAGATTTATATGGGTACACATTGTGAGGGCTACCATGCTGCACATAGAGACTATTCTCTGATTTATTATTATTGGCCATATTTGAAGTAGCCACTGGAGGATAATCCTTCCTTAGTAACTGAGTGACTTTCTCAGCCTGCTTCTTAGAGAAGATAGGGGCTCAAGGATTTTTATTTCCCTTGAATGGTTTTAGTCCTGGCTCATGGTTTCTTTGGCTCTGAGTTGAATTTATTTGGATTCTGTTTGATTCCTATGTTTCTGGTACCAAAAGCTATGCTAACAATTCCATTTTTTTATAGATATACTACTTAGATTTGCTATAATTCTTTGGTTTCTTATCCCTGAGTTCTTTCTACTTGATTGCAAGTACATTGAGCTCATCAAGGATTGATGGAAGGGACATACCTTTGGATACTTTTTCATGAGGTGTTTTGTCTAAGTACACAGATTATATCCCTAGTTGAACACTTGCTTTGAGGCATCTTAATGTACTCAAAGATTTTAACAGTGATTTTATTTAATGCTACAAAACTGAGTTTTAACTGGTCTTCATCATCCAAAGCATTTATATTATATAGTTTAGGGTTGAAACATGCTTTCTTCAATCTTATGAGTCCCTAGATACAAGGACTGTGTAGTCTATTCACTATCATTCCTTTCTACACACTGCCAACTTTTTCCTACATACATCTCTGAAAAGACCTTGCTAAACTGCTGATAATAGTCAAAACATAATACTAACATTTGCATTTCTAATTCATTTCACCAATCATTATCTCCTTCCAGTTAGGTTTTTGTTATGGCAGCACCCTACATCTACTTACCAGTTTCTGTTTCAGGTTTTGCTGCATTAACACTCTTCCACCCCCACCCCACCAAAGTCTCAGTTGACTGCACATAGGAAAAGTTGTCCTTGCTAATGTTATATGTCCAGTGCAGGGTGGTTATGGCCTTCTGTTTATCATTGTCACTCAGGGATCTGGAGTGATGGGCTCATACTTTCACAGTTCAGCAGGACAAAAGATACAGAAATTGAACATTGACTATTAACATTTCTATTCATATTTCATTGGTCAAATAACTCACATGGCCATACCTAACTTTAGATGGAACCTAGAAAGGCATTCCTACCATGTACCCAAGAGAACTGGAATAATTATTTTCTATTATCTAATTATGATTAATTTTAACCTTGGAATCTTCAGGTACTAAAACTTTTGTTTTACTGTTAAGTTTTCTATACATCTTAGAAATTAGAAGAAAATTCTGATGCATAATTATTTTTCCTTTCTTGTTCCTTCCCCTACTTTGCCCCTGTTAGAAAAATAGTGTGTTTTCCCTACCCCATTATTATTATTCTCATATTGAGTATACTTTCAATACCATCTCTTGAAATAGCCATCCAAATGAAAAGGTAAATAAAAATCTTATCATTATGGGTGTCAGGAAGGGACACTTTGTTGTTCCTTTAATTTCACTTTTTCCATATTCCTTTTTGTTCTGAATTCATCATATGCCCCTAGAGCTTTGAATCTCATAAGAGGTTCCACTCCCAGCCCCCAAATCCAAAGCAAATTTTAAGTAATTTTTTGCTGCTGTATTTTTGCTGCCACAGTAATCTGTTATGCATAAGTCTAAGCCTTTTAAAATGATCTTTACTTTCACAAAAACAAGGTCTTGAGCCACAGGGAAATAGTATTTGAATCCTTACTCTGTTAACATCCTGCTTAATTAGAATGTAGCTAAACAAGCACTGAACCTATCCTTGTCCCAAACTACATAGTCAGATAAAAGGCTTTCTTTTAGGAAAACTGTTATTGGTGTTTGAAGCTTTTAGGGCAAGAAAGACCTACTAAGAAGGTGTTTCAATCCATGAGGACTGGTTGGTTGTGATGAGGATAGGTAATATAGCAGTCACCTAAATCAGGCACTAGAATGATACCTTTTGGACCATTATCTTAGTAGTCACTTGAAAACTTGAATGATTTCAGGACATATCACTTTCATTTAGCTTTAAAGATTGAAACAAAGCAGATATTTTATTAATGTGATGGCTTCTAGATTTCTCTTTGTTCAACTATATTTCTATATTCATTAAAGTCTCTTCAGGACAGAAGACCATGTTCTTTGTCTCCTCAGGATACAGTTACCTCATACAGCTACCCCCAGAAGGTAATCTCTTAGTGTTAGCAAGCATTCATTTACATGGTCTGAATAGAGGAAATGAGTTTTCTCTTTCTTTACCTTCATCATACTTCTAAGCATCTGCTTGTGTTTCTTTAAATAGTATTTTAATCTTGTGGCATCTGGCACAGTGATTCATAAATTCATTCAACAAATTGATTAAACATCTATGGTATTCCAGACACCGTTCTATGTGTTCATGTTAAACTACTCGTACTTTACCATGAAACTCTTACATAATGAATGAGTTAATATTAAATTACCTAACAAAGTTATCTTTATTTTACTGAAACTTAAATGTAAGGCTGTCCTCTGGAATTCAGAGTCAGCATAAAGAAAGGAAGTTGAAATCTAAGAGTGAATAGGATTGTCTGGGAAAAGGAAGAGATTGAGAATCTAGAATAGAGCCTGCTGTTCACAAAATTTAGAAAATGAATAGAAAATGAATAGTCAAGGATGGAAGAAAAGCATATTATGCTTCCATATTGTAGAAGTTCTGAAGAGGGAAGAATTTTGAGGAACAGTCAAGTGTCACTTGCTGCCAAGAGGTCAAACAACATAAAGATTAACAAGAGTCTACTAGAGTTTGCCATAGAGACCACAGATGACTTTGAATGCAATTTCAGAGGAACAGAGTGGGTAGCCAGGCACTCTGCAGTTAGTGGTAAGTTTCTGAAATAGAGGCTGCCAATGAGGACGGTGTTTAAGAGGAGTCTGTTACCATTGATTACCTCTTCATGCTCATCCCTGTAATAGATGCTGTGAGAAAGTAACCTGTTCTCTTGAGGAGCTTTTTCCTAAGCAGCAAAAATCGCAATCTCATGAAGTCTTGAAGTTAAAAAAATGCAAAGCACCTTTTATATTTAAAAAGTGTTTATGTGGGGAAATGTGTATGCATATATGCATTACAAATCTCTGGAATGATTGGCAGGAAACACAGAAGTGACCTGGTTGGGAAGAAGGCAACTAGGTATATGGAGGACAGGAGTTTGAAGGAAATTTTTCATTGAAGTTTCATTGAATCATTTTGTTTACCTTTTCAGGAAAACAAAATTAAAAAGCTCTCAAAATAATGTCGTGTCTTCTAAAAGAAGTAACCTTTCTATATAGGGTTTATACAAAGTTTGACTTTTCAGTGTTTTACTTATCAAAACAAAATATTTCCTATAATGTAGGTTCAGATAAGAAACCAATGCTGTTAAAGAAGCCAAACTTAAGAATTCTGAACTTTCTTCCATACTTACAGATGATGGGAAATTCTGCAGCAGTTGCAGCTTCCTGTGCCAATAATGTTCCAGCTACAGTCTTATCTAACTGTACAGCAGCTAATCAAGCTAGTAATACCTCGCCAGTTTCCTCACAGAATGTTATTCAGCCTCTATTTGTATCTCCACCTACAGGAGGTAGATCAGGTAGGTTTTTAGTGTTTGCTTACTTTGAAAGCTCTTTTCCTATTCATAAACATGTACATACGAATATTCTAGCTATTAGATAGGATGATTTTATAATATCTTGAATTTTAACTTTAAAGTTTGTGGTGCTATGCTGCAGTCTGGCTGGGCACAAAATAACTGAGCCGCCACACAGCCTTGTAGGTTCAAAACAGGAAGTCCTTTATTCTCCGCTGGCCTCCCCCCCCACACACACACACCCCACACACCCTACACACCAACCGGAAAATCCCTCCTCCGGAAATCCCTCCTCTGGCACTTCCCCAACCAACAGGAACACCCCAGGAATCCAAAGTAGCAGGCAGAGGTGGATAGCAGGGGTCTAATATACAATTGAATACACAGCTTAACATAACCATCATCATCTCAATGGCTTGCTGGCATCACCTCTCAACCACTCCTTTCTGGCAAAAATGCCATGTGTCATCCTGACTCTGCTATGGCCCTCAACAGTGCTATTCAGGAATCCATGAGATTTGAGAGTCAGGGTTTCAATTGGCTCCAGTAAGATTCTGTGCCTATCATATGCTACTGACTACTTAGAAGACTTGTACTTGTTTCTAAATCTTTGAGTTGTTTTATTATATTTCTCACTTTATTGGATAAATTTCTAAAAAGTTTGCTTAAAATACATTCCTGTGTAATGAATTATGTTCCTATAAATATCATAATAAAGAATATTAGGCTCTAGATTTTAAGAATCTAGGTTAAAATCCCAGTTTTGCAGCTTATTAGGTGTGTAATTTTGGTCATGTTACTAAACCTTTTTTTATCTATGTGCTTGGGAGTATAGATAGTACTAATTCATGAAGTAATTGTGGAATGGGAATGATTTAATATAAATTAAAATTCTCAGAATTCTGAGAAGGTTATGGCAACAACAGCATAGCTTTTCTGAGTCCTCAAGTAAAAACCTACAAACAAAATCTGCAACAAAACTAGATGATATGGTATCCACACAAACCCTCAAAATGAAGTAGGTAGGAAGAAACTACCAGCACAGGACTTTTGAATACTCTCAGATTTTTGTGTGAGCAAGAAGCTTGAAGCACTGAGGATGTTATATAGACTGAAGAATAGAAAAACCCCAAAAGAAATTAGAGTGGCCAATTTGGAATAAGTAGCTAAAACTGGGAAGGGATTTGATCTTTCTAATAGTAGGGAGTGTATGAGCCACTTTATAGAAGAACGGAAAGGTTTAGAAAGCAGTTTATTCCCTCAGACCTGACCTTGCAATGCTCCCTTTTAGGGTATTGTTTCTCACTGAGAAGTTTCTGGGAGTGGATTCAGAATTGATCATGATGGGGAAAAGAACAGGTCCAGAATAAAATTGGGGAGGATAGAACCAAGGAATCCTAGAAACCAGTTATATTTTGAATACTCCACAAAACAGAGCTTCATGAAGTCAGAAGACTATTCCCTACTTGTAAAATTAATGAAAATTAATTTTGCATATAACAAAAAAAAAAGAAAAGCATTAAGGTAAAATGGTATACAAAGATATGTTAAGAAATATTAGAATAATATCCCTGCCAGGCGTGGTGATACATGCCTGTAGTACCTGTGGCTTGGAAGGCTAAGGTGGGAGGATAGTGAGTTCAAAGGCAAGGCACTAAGCAACTCAGTGAGATCGTATCTCTAAATAAAATATAGAATAGAGCTGGGGATGTGGCTCAGTGGTCAAGTGCCCGAGTTCACTCCCGGGTAACCTTCACACACAAAATAAAAGGTCTACGGATATGGCTTTGTAGTTAAGTGCCCCTGGGCTCAATCAACCCCTGATAGAAAAGAAAAAGATGAATATCCCTGCAGATGGCAAAAGTATGCCAGAAATTAAGCTCAGCAAACTTAAAATTATAAGTCTATTTCAAAATGAGGTAAAGAAATTAACAAAATACTACAGAATGTTAAAGAATAACAGAAGTCAGAATTAGAAAAACACATGAGGCTACAATACTCAGGAAAGATTTAGAAAAAGAAGACAAACATTTTAGTAATGACAAACTACAAAGAGCCCGATCTAATATATATAGTAGGTAGAAAAACGAGGCCAGGCATAGTGGGGAATGCCTATAATCCCAGCCCCTCTATTTGGGAGGCTGAGGCAGGAAGATCTCAAGTTGGAGTCCAGCCTCAGCAACTTATTGCTATGCTGTCAAGCAAGGCAATCTCATGTGGTAATTTAAATTAGTTGCAATTCAATAAAATATTTAGTTCTTCAGTCACTTAAGCTTCATGCTAAGTGCTCAAAGCCACACGTGGCTAGCAGTTATGGTGTAGGACAACACAGAATATTTGTACCCTCATAGAAAATTATCACACAATAGTGTATAGAGAATGAGGTTTGAATTTTTACCCCAAATATGTTTCAGTCATTTTTTTTTTTTGCATTAGTTTTGGTGACCCCTTAAATTTTGTGCTGGAGCACCTCACCATACCTTAGTTTTGGCCCTTTTCTTTGATCTCTAGAGAAGTGGAGCCTTACTGTATGTATTTATATTCCCTTCTGAAATGTCCTGAAGCAGCTGCAGCTACATGGATGGGCGAAATGCCCTATGCTGATTTCTACTAATATCAGAGAAAACAGTACTTCTCTTTTTCTGGAGCCATCCCTTGAATTATACCTGTTAAGCTTATGGAGCTCAAAGTCTGAGGAGCAATTGAAAATAAAAGCCTTTCTTAAAGGGCTTACTGTACAGACAGTAACCTTCAAATTTCTTTTACTGTTGATTTAGGCCTATGAGATTGTATTAACCTCTGTCTACTGGCCTGCTATTTTCCAACTGAGTACTCCATGCTGCTTTTTATTTTTTTTAAAGAGATGGTGTGGTTTGTTTTGAGTGCTAGTTTTAAAGGAATAAAGGTGTTTTTTGTTTTTTTTTTTTTGGTAAGCCATTTTTTGTTTGGTTCATAGATTTAGAGCATTAGGGGATATTCTGAAAATTAAATTCTTTTCCCAAAAGTGGAGATTTCTAATCATATGTCAAAATTCTAAAATAGTTGAGCAAATTTAAAAAATTTACTGTTTAATTGAGATACAGTAAAATTTTTGTTTTGATGCTCAGTTCTATGAGTTTTTGATAAATGCATAAAGTTGTATAACTGCCACCACAATAAAGACAGAATTGTTTTATCACCCCCCAAAATTGTTTCATCAAGTTTTAGATCACCCTAAGACACAATATCTTATTACTATTAGCCTGTAGCTTTGTAAAAAGTACAGATGAGTATGTAATTAGTATTTGTCACTGAATGAAAACAGTGTGGATTAGTTCTTGCTAAATTATCAAAATAATAAACTTGCATAAATTGTTCCTATACTAACCTCAGGCTACTTGAACCCAAATATTCAATCCTTTATTGAATGATGCAATGAAACTTTCTATACTCTTAGGGCTAAAATGATAGTGCCAGTAATACAGCAATGAAATTTGGTACTTGAATTTCCCAATTTGGCAAAAGTAATTAGTTTAATTGATCATTTATCAAAAAATGAACAAATTTAATTTGGCATATTATACATGTGTATGTATGTTTTTGCTATGTTGGAACCATAATTTTTCCTTTATCATAATAGAGGATGAATATTTAAGCATTATATTTTCATTTCACATATCAAAAATTATAAGTCATAAATGAGCATTGTTTTTAAGCTGTTTTAACAAGCATGAAATGTTGAAAGGATAAAATATTGCATATATCCTGCTTTGTTTTAGATTTTTGTTCCTCCTTAGAGATTAAACTGTGGTAAGCTGAAGTTACCTATATTCCTCAGATGCTTACCAGTAGAATTCTTCAGACATAACTGAAAACTCTGAAATCTCTAATCTGTGCTGTTTAATCTGTCTCTTCTGAACTTCTACATCTTATAATTTTGACTGACAGATTGCTGAAAACATCTTTAAATTTTTGTTGGGTATAAAGCTAAGTAACCTTCCAACTTTTTGTTTTTAAGTCAAACTATGAGTTAAGAATTCTTTGATCATATTCAGGAAATAAGAAAAGCAGAAGATGAACTATTGCTTTTAAGATGTTACTCTTGTGCACTGACACTTTGTTTTGTTTGTTAGTGATTGCAGCACCATCCTATCCATACCATTCTGTTCCTGCTGCTGGGTCCTCTCTTCCACCACCACCACTACCACTTCCTGCTTCTGCTCTTGAAATGGGGGAGGCTTCAAACTTGCCACCTCCACCTCCACCTCCACCCTATTCCTGTGATCCAAGTGGCAGTGATCTGCCTCAAGGTAAGTAGATTTTGAGACTTGTATAAGTTTATTTATGTCTGAGCAATTTTTAAGAGCTATCTTTGGTTGACCTATGGGGTGGGGAACCAAATGGAAATTGACTTGAGAGCATAATCCTGGGTAATTGACTAGGGAAAGGATCAATTGTAAATTAAAAGCTGAGAATATCTTCTGTATAATAAATGGGTAGTTCATTTCAACAACTCATAATGTTTTTTGTTTGTTTTAGTAGCAACCTGTCTATCCTGAAGTTTCTCAAATGAGTAGCTTTGCTTTTCTCAGTTATTTTTCTTGAAAAGCAGGAGTTGGTATCAGAATTTTTCCTTATACATTCTTTGCATAAACTTACGAAATTATTGCAATCTTGAGTGCAACTGAATTTTGAATAGGGCTCATAAGGGTCTGATCTGCCTTGGATTTCAGCTATGTGTTCCTGTTTCTAAAGAGTAATTTTCCACGGGAAGTTTTTTGTTACCTCTCCATTTGTCAGTATTTACTCAAGAGAATTATAGTTGCCGGAGAATTATAGTTGTTGGTCATTTGCAGCTTGCTTATATTTTTGGCTTAGCATTCTCTTGATTTTTCTAGCTGCTTATCTACTCTGTTGTGAGTTTTTCCCTAGCCCTTAAGGCAATCATCAAAATTGTCTCCAACTCCATTCTGTTTTTTTCCCCTACCTTAAAACTTTATTGTGTCTATGTAGTGATTCCCAAATTGTGCATTGGTCTCAAAAGTTTCAGTTAGCTTGTTTTCTAGCTGCTTTCAAGGTATTTCCTGTAGCTTTTTAGACTTCCATTTCAAACTTAAATGTCCATGATAAAATTCCTCATCTCCCTTTCTTATTCCAGGCCACACAAAATATTGATTCTTCTTATTTTCTTAAATTTCCATCTAATTTACCCAATATCTAAATCCTGATTTCTATATTCTCTCTCCTTTCTTCCCCCTCTGTGTCCAAGATGTCACCACATAATGCTGACTTTCATTTTCCAGCATTTTATTATGAAAATATTCAAGCATACATCAGAATTTTTTTTTAATTTTTAGAGTGGTGGGGATCAAACCCAGGGTCTCAGACATGCCAGACAAGCACTCTTACCACTAAGTCACATCCCAGCTTTTGTAGTTGAATTTTCAAATGCGTAGTAATATATTCATCATCAAGATTCTGTCTTTAATGTTTATCTAGCTTTGTCACATGTTTGTTCATCTTGCCCTCCATTTATCTCCCTGTCAATTGATTCATCCATCTCACTTTTTAAAAAAATTTTTAGTTGACAAACATTTATTTTAGTTATTTTTATGTGGTGCTGAGAATCAAACCCAGTGCCTCACACATGCCTGGCAAACACTATCACTAAGCTCCAACCCCAACCCTCCATCTTATCTTTATGAATTGAAAAAAATATATATAGATATCAGTAGACCTTCCCAGAATAGGTAAAGAACATGTGGTATAAATTTCCAAAATGGAATGCTATTCACCTGTAGAAAGGATAAAACCCTGTCATTTGTAGAAACATGGATGAACCTGGAGGACATTATGTTCAGTGAAATAAGTTAGGCACACAAATATCACCTGATCTCACTCATTTGGAATCTTAAACTGATCTTATGGAAGTACTGAGTAGAAGAGTGATTATTAGAGGCTGGGAAGGGTAGAGGGGAGAGGAGGATAGGGTAAAGATTGGTCAGTGGGTACAAAATTATAGTTAGATAGTCTGGTATTCCATTTCTATAGTTAATAATGTATATTTCAAAATAACTAGAAGAAAATATTTTGAATGTTTCACCACAAAGAAATGTTAAACGTTTGTGATGATGAATATGCTTAATACCCTGATTAGATCATTACATAATGTATACATGTGTCAACATGGGATATCATGTTATACCTCATAAATATGTACATTATGCATTGATTATAATCAAAACAATGCATGCACCTGTGTTACCTAAATCCCATTCAAGGTATTAAACATTATTAAGCTGGGCATGGTGACACACACCTGTTATCCCAGTGACTCGAGAGGCTGAGGCAGGGGGATTGGACATTCAAGACCAATCTCAGCAATTTAGCAAGACCCTATTAAAAAAAAACTAAAATTCTGGGGATGTGGCTGAGTGGTAAATCACCTGTGGGTTCAAGCTCCAGTGTCCCCCCCAAAAAATTACCATCCCACTGTGTTTTCTTATGTCTTTCCTGGGTCCCCTCACTATTTTCTCCCAGAGTCAGCCACTGTTCTGATTTTTTTCTACCATAGATTAGTTTTGTACGTTTTAAAATTCCATCAATACAGTATATAGTATTTATAGAAAGCTTCTTAAACTCAGCATAATGTTTTTGATATTTATGCATGCTGCATATATTGATAGTCCATTTTCTTTTATTGCTGATTAATAGTTCATTGTATCAGTATTCCAAAGTTGATCCATTTTCCTGTTGATTTACATCTGGGCTATTTCCAGTTTGAAGCTGTTACAAATAAAGACTGACAGACTTTCTTGCTCAAGTCTTTGTGAATAAATGTTTTCATTTCCTTTGAATAAATACCTAGCAGTGGAATTGCTAGGTCATAGAAATTTGTGTTTACTTTTATAAGAAATTGCCAAACATTTTTCTAAAGCTGTACTATTTTGAACTCCCACTAGCACAAGAATTTCTTATCCTCACAAACATCAGTGCTGTCACTTGCTTTTATCTTAAGTATTGTGGTGATTAATGAGGACACTTTAATCCCACCCCCAACCTCCACACCCAATCATGGTAGAGCACATCTGTAATCTCAGCTACAGGAGGGATGAGGCAGGAGGATCACAAGTTGGAAGCTAACATTGTCAACTTAGTGAGATCCTGTCTTAAAAGAAAAAAATAATAAAAGGACTAGGAATGTAACTCTGTGATAGAACACCCCTGAGTTCACTCCTCACTACTTTAAAAAATAAAACAGACCATTTTGTAGAGCAGTTTTCTGTTTACAGCATAATTTAGAGGAAGGTACAGCAATTTTCCGTATACCTCCTATCTTCAAATGTGCATAGCCTACTATATTATCAACATCCCCACACCAGACTGGTACATTTGTTATAATTGTTGCAACTACATTAACACATTATTGTCCTTCAAAGATGTATTCATAGTTTTCTTTAGAGTTTACACTTGCTGTTGTACATGTTGGTTTGGACAAATATATAATACATTTCCTCCATTACAGTATTACACATAAGTTGGTTTTGTTGTTGTTGTTACTGGGGATTGAATTTGGGTCACTGGACTACTGACTGAGCCATCTCCCCAGCCCTATTTTGTATTTTATTTAGACACAGGGTCTCAGTAAGAGTTATTTACTGCTTTGCTTTTGCTGAGGCTGGCTTTGAACTCTCTATCCTTCTGTCTCAGCCTCCTGAGCCTCTGAGATTACAGATGTGCACCACTGCTCCCAGCACACTTTTTTTGTTTTTGTTTTTGTTTTTTAACTAATAAAACACCTCTGTGCTCCATGTAATCATACCACCTCCCCCAACCTCTGGCAATCACTGATCGTTTTATTGTCTTCATAATATTGCTTTTTTCAGAAGGCCATATAATTGTGATCATATAGAATGTAACACTTTCAGATTTCCTTCTTTCACTCAGTGATATGTATTGAAGGTTCCTCCATGTATTTTTATGGCTTCTTAGCTCATTTTGTTTGAACACTGAATAATAATCCATTATCTGGAGATATCACAGTTTATATATCCATTTACCCTGTAAAGGATATCTTGGTAGCTTCTACGTTTGGACAATTAATAAGTAAAATAAGTAAACATCCTAGGACAACATTTTGTTTGGAAGTATTTTCAACTTTTGAGTAAATACCAAGAACCATGATTGCTGGGTCAGATGGTAAAAGTATATTTAGTTTTGTAAGAAACTGCCAAATTATCTTCCAAAAGTGACTATTCTTTTTTTAATATTTATTTTTTATGTGTACATGAACACAACACAATGCAGTTTTATTTTTATGTGGTGCTGAGGATCGAACCCGGGTCTTGCCCAAGCTAGGCGAGCGCTCTACCGCTGAGCCACAATCCCAGCCCAAAAGTGACTATCCTTTTGCATTCCCACCAACAATTAATGAGAATTCCTACTGCTTCATATTCATACCAGCACTGGTGTTACCGGTGTTCTGGATATTGGCCATTCTAATCGGTGTGGAATGGCATCTCATTACTTTAATTTGCATTTCCCTTAGAGCATATGATATAGAGCATCTTTTCAGGTGTACTTTTGCCATCTATATATCTTTGATGTGGTGTCTTTTAAGGTCTTTGGCTCATATTGAAATCAGGTTGTTTTCTTATAGTTGAATTTTAAGAATTTTATATATTTTGGATAACATCTATTCAGATATGTTTTTGCACATATTTTTTCTTCCAGTCTGTGGCTTATCTTTTCATTTCTTTCGATGGCATCTTTCACAGATATTTTAAATTGTAATGAAGTTCACTTTATCAATTACTTCTTTTATAGATCATGCCTATGGTGTTGTATCTGAAAAGTCATCACCTAACCAGGCCATTTGTTTCTGAAAGTCGTCACCAAATCAGGTCATTTAGATTTTCTCCTAGGAGTTATCTTCTAGGAGTTTTATACTTTTGTGTTTTTAATTTACATTTCTGATCCATTTTGAGTCAACTTTTGTGAAGAGTATAAGGTCTTTGTATAGATTTTTTTTTGCATGTGGAGATCCATTTGAGTATTGTTTTCATGTGCTTATTGACCATTTGCATATTTTTTATAAAGGATCTGTTATATCTTATTTTTGTCACTTGTATTATATTAAATTGTAGAAATTCTTTACATATTCCAAATACTAGTCTTTTGTCAGGTATGTTTTGTGAATATTTTCTCCTTTCTTTGGCTTAACTATTTTCTTCATTGTGTATTTTGGTGAGCCTTAGTGTTTTTTTTTTTTTTATTGGATGTTCGAAACATTACAAAGCTCTTGACATATCATATTTCATACATTAGATTCAAGTGGGTTATGAACTCCCATTTTTACCCCAAATACTGATTGCAGAATCACATCGGTGACACATCCACATTTTTACATAATGCCATATTAG